AGATGATAATGAGCACGTTCTTCATGTGACAGACATGCCACCCTGGGCTTAGCAAGTGATTAGGATAGAATCTGTGAAGTGTTATACAGTTGAAGGGATTGCAGTAGGATTTAATTTTCAAAGTATTTCATGAGCACAGAAGAAAATTTTAAACTCAAGAATTTATGTAGCTAAATAAATAATACCCCCTTCCCACCATAGCCCTCCACTGACCCAGATCACCTGCTCAAAACCAGTTAACAATTTATCATTTCTCTTTCCAGAAAAATATACCTATGCCTATATCTAGTCACTAGCATATATTACCATATAAGTACAAGAGTGTAAGACACAGAGCGGGAGAAATGATTGCAAATCAAATCATGTATCTTATAAAGGACTTGTATCTAGAATTTATGTTATAAATGAAGTGACACCTTGTAAGGGACAGGAACGGACCCAGTGCAGGTTTTCTGATCCCATGCAGACCGGGTAAAGGAGCAGTCAGAGTCCTCAGTGGTTTTTTGCAGGTCTTTTATTGGGGTTCACCAGGCATATGGGAGGCTGGCAAGCCTCCCAGCCCCCAGCAAGTCTTCACTCTATCTGGGCTCTCTGGCCTTCGTTCTGCTGCTTCTCAGCTTCTCTTTCGGCTTCTGCTTCGGCTTCTTCTGGCGTCCCCATGATGCTGCCCTTAAAAAGCACAGTCTTAACCCAGGTGTACCCACTCCAGGTGCCCGCCATCAGGCATGCATTCAGGATCACAGAGTTCCCTCATCTATCCTGATGGCGGGAGGGCAGAAAAGCCTGATATTTTTCCTTACCCTACACCCCTTGTCTCTGCTGGCGGGATATGATAACCCAGTCACGAGGGAGGATTTGACAGTTTCTTTTAAGTCAAACACAGACTGACCATACAGTCCAGGGAGCAGTGTTCCTGCTGTTTACCCAACTAATCTGAACTTGTATTTGCAAAACAAACAAAACCAAAAACCCTGCATGGAAGTAAATGTTTATAGCAGAACCCTCACTGAGTGAGAGCTGTGTCCATAGTGACTTCCTTCCAAAGACAACAGTAACTACAGAAAGGAAAAATGAAAGTGCATGTGTGTGCACCTGATGTGCTGCTGGAGAACGGCCTCAAATGGAGGCCATTGTGTCTGAGCAGCTCTGCTCACAGGTGTCATCACCAGAGGAAAGTTTGAGAAACTGTCAGCCAGAGGCACTTAGGACACGTGGTTGGAACTTCATGTGGTGTCCTGGGTGGGCTGTCGGAGCATGAAAAGAATATCAGGAAAATTAATGAAATCCAAATACAGTGCAGAGTTTGGTGAAAGTGCATCATTATTGCTTCCTTAGCTGCTCAAATGCACTGTGGTCACATGCGATGTTAACAATTTGGAAATGATATGGGTTGTATAGGAACTGTACTAGCTTTGCCACTTTACGGTAAACCTAACAGAATTTTTAGAAATGTTGTTTAAAATTAAAATAACATTAAAAAAATAGCCCTCAACAAAGTTACGGGTTTGTAAAAGTAAAAATGATAAACTTCCCAGTTCTCCCAGGTATCGCTGTCCAGGGACTGGAGACAGAAGTCCTGGGGAGAAAACCTGGAAACCTCACACCCAGGGCAGGCTCCGGAGTCTCCTCTTCCCTGAGCCCTGTGCTTCTCTGACTCCTCACAGAGCTTCTCACCCCAAGACGCCGCACTCCAGCACCCCCAACTCTGCCCACCTCAGCCCCCCCGCCCTGTCCTGGTGGCTCATGAAGACTCAGAAGTCTTCATGAGTGTTCAGGCAACTCCTGTGCTCACTGAAGTGGGAGCTCCTTGGTCTCATGTCTTCTCCATGTGGGGTCAGACTGTGCAATTGGCTCTGGGGTGTGTCTGCTCTGATTGCTCATTACTGTGGAATCTGGGGTTCAATTCTGCTCCTTTCTCTTGCTTAGTCATCACTTTCTGGGTGACCCTTACATGCTCAAGACCTTAAATATCATTTACAACACATCATCTCCCAGATCTATTTCTTACCTCAGACATTTCACCTGTGCCCCAGACTTCTCTGTCCAATTGCCAACATCACTTTCTTTTTTTTCTTAATATATTTTTTTATAAAATTCTTACATCATTTTTCATTTTTGCAAAATGTATGCATTTTCATTTTTGTTATATTCTCCATATAGTTCCGCTCCCCTTATTTTGTCCCTAATCACTCCTCTCCTTCCCCCATCCCCGTAGTGTGTCTCTGGTTTATAGTTACTTGTTGATTTTGATTTTTTCTTTATTATAGTTAGTCTTTTTCCTGGTCCCTTATTTAGCTTTTCTAAATTCCTGCTATGAGTGAGACCATCCGGTATTTTTCTTTTTCTTTCTGCCTTATTTCCCTGAGCATGATCCCTTCCAGCTCCACCATGTTGCTGCAAATGGCATGAGTTTATCTTTTTTGATTGCTGAGTAATATTCCATTGTGTATATGCACCACAACTTCTTGATCCAGTCATCTATTTTTGGGCATTTGGGTTGTTTCCAAAGCTTAGCTATTGTAAATAGTGCTGCTATAAACATAGGGGTGCAAGTGCCCTTTGGAATAAATGTTTCTGTGCCCTTTGGGTAAATACCTAGGAGTGGAATTGCTGGATCATATAGAAGCTCTATGTTTAGTAGGTCCAGAAATCTCCACACAGCTCTCCATAATGGTTGGACCATTTTGCACTCCCACCAGCAGTGCAGGAAAGTACCTTTTTCTCCACATCCTTGCCAACATTTGCCAACATCACTTTCAATTCTAATAGGTGATTCAAATTTCCTATATTGAATGCCTAGGATGCCCACATACGGTTCGTTTAGGGTCTTCCCCATGTCACTGAGGCTCCACCTCTCTGCCTGCACAGTCTGAAACACTGAGTGTCATCTTTGACCCCTTTCTTATAACCCAGCAGTAGGAAACGCTGTAAAGTCCATTTCTACATATGTGCAGACCTATCACTGCCTATTATTTCTCTGCGCAACTCCAAGTGAGCCACCAACCTCTCTGTTCTGGGACCTGCTCTGGTTTCCTCCATTTCTCTTCCTACCTCTTGCTCTTCCATGCTGCACAGCAGCCAGACTGAGGCTACCAGAGAGAAGTTCCACAGGTGTATCTGCTCAGAAGGTCTTGTCACCCCATATTTTACTCAGAGAGTCAAACCCTCCCAACATCATCAAGGACTGAATAACCTGGGTGCACACAGATCCCATCTCCATTAGCCTCTGCTCAGCTCTTGGCCTCCTTGCTCATGTCAGTCACAAGACACACTCCCGCTCAGGCATTTGCACTAGAGGGTGTCCTGCCTGGACTGAACTTCTCTGCACATCCTTGTTGGTAACGTGTCCATCAAACTTCTTCTCAAAGGTCACTTCAGTGAGACCCACACTGACCATCCTGTTAAGAAAACCATCATGTCCCCGCACAGACTCTGGTCAACTTCCCACATCCCCTACGCACTTCTAACCAGACACGTGTGGTTTGCTCTCTGATCTACCGTCACGAAGTCCCCAGTCTCCCCTCCCCACTAGGACACACTCTCCACAGGCTGCAAGTTGTGCATGTTTTTACTTCATTGAGGTTTCCTAGTTGCATAAACAGTCAGTCACACATCTGGTTATCAGTTGTGTCATCAGTGTAGAGCACCTCCCTGTTCTAGAGACAGTGTCTTTAGTAATGTGGCACATTACAAGGGTCTTTCGAAAAGAGGTCCCTAGATTTTTTTTTTTGTAAGATTTATTTTTGCATAGAAGAACTGGGGTGTAGGTCAGAAGTGCAGGGGTGGGGTTGGTGAGAGGATTCACCAGAGAGAGTGGGGAGCAGAACAGGCGAATTTACTGAAATACACTGCTAAGGGGAGCAGCAAGTGAAACAGGAGAGGTCTGTGGGACATATGTGGGTTATTTCCCTGGCTAGGGATCGAACTTGGCGTATAGAGGTGATAGCGCTGAGACTTAACCCCTGGGCCACCAGGGAGGTCCAGGTACCTAGGCTTATGGGTCCTATTTTTCAGTCAACTATGAAGGTAACTGACTCCATCAACCCATGGGTCTTGATTAGCACCAGCACTGGGGTTACTACATTTAAGGGCTGGGTTACAGGGAGAAGCTGTAAAGAAAAATAGATATCTATCAGGCACGTCTCTAAATCCATCAGGAAATTATCAAATCCTCCTTTCTAGTAATACCAAGATTTTGTTCTTTCAAAAAGAGTGGAAAAGGTGGAACGAATAATCTAGAAAACATTCCTAAAATGAGGCCAAAAATTACGAGTCTGGGAATTCATCTCTTACCATACTCCTGTGTGCAGGAGTCACTCTGGGCCTTGTGGGGACAATGACAGATGCTCCTGTTGCTGTCAGAGACAGGGACAAAGGGACATGAGGCCTGGTCTCTACACATCAAGGAGAACAGGCAAAAAGCAAAATAAAAACTAAAGAATCAAAATAGAAATACATAGAAATTTGAGAGCAGGCTAGACCCTGAGCTGAGCCTAGGCTGACCTGGCCACACAAGCACTCCCTGTCCAGACAGGACAGCACAAGGCCAGGAGGTGTCTGAGTCTCTGTGATCACAGGCCCTACTGGGACAGGTGCTCCTGAAGGACAAGGACAAAGGAGCAGAGTCATAACCCCTGAGGAGTGACCATGTCAAAGCCCACAATGCACTGAGCACCAACTGGACACAGGCCCATCACTCTTGGTTCCTCATAGCCTCTCCCGCTCCCACCCGCACAGACTGAGCACAGCAAATGCTTGGTTCTGAAAGGTTTTGCATTTATTTCATCTCAAATTTTAGGAATCATTTTTATTAGCCCTCAAACCCATCAGCCAAGATCACACAAATTAATTTCAGAACTCAACTATTATTTCAAGAGGGAAGTAGTTACTGTTCTTGAGAAAAACACACAAAGACGGGATAAAAGCAGACCAAGCTGCCTTTGCTGGAGCAGGAAAGTCATCAAGAGGAGACACAGGTCAGTGTGGGTAGGGGCCTGGTGGGCAGGGCTGGACCAGTCTCCCCAAACTCCTCTCATGATCTAGTAAGAACAGAGACACATTCCAATGCCTTTTGCAGCAAAAGACACTGGCAGATCTTCAAGTTACAAAGTGGCGGTGAGAAGAAATCCTGCATCACTCAGCCCTGACAAGGCAAGGGCTCACACTGTGAAGGAAAAGGATCATAAAAAATTCAAAGAAACAAACAAACAAACAAACAAGCAAAATTCAAAGAAACACGTAAGTGTCGACATTCTCCATAGTCTACCGCATCCTCAGAATGTCCCCCTCACAGTTTCCCCATCACCTGGTCCCATCCTCTCTGCCCCAGCCCCTCCCAACGCAGGCCTCCAGGGTCTTACTTTTAGCAGCTGTGAGACACATTAGAGCCCTGGGCACTGTTGCTGCCTGGGGGAGAACAAAACAGAACCTGGTCAGAGCCCTGAGAGATGAGACCATAGAAGGAACTGAGCTGGGTGACTCCCCCACGGGCTCCACCTACACTGTCCCCAGGGCCTCAGGGATAAACCCCTGATCCACACTTACCTGAAGCCTGAGTGTAGCTTCTTCCTTTTCCACCTGGGGGAAGAAATATTATATGAGACCAGGGAGGAGTCAGGCCATGAACTCCTAAAAAAATTCCCAAGTCTGGACCACAGGGAAGTTTCCAGAACTGTGACTGGACACTTAGGGCAAGACCAGGAAATATGAAGAGAAGAGATGAGGGGGGACTGGACCAACTGCCTCCTGGGTCTTCCCTCAGAGGGACCATGCCCTCTGTAATTTGCTGGCATCAGGGCCCCATCACCAGAATTATCAAGATCATTTTCAAAAATGCTTTACAAAAGAGGGTTAGCAATCAGCTCCAGACTGGGCAACACAAGTGTGTGGGCGGTACTTCCCATTACCAGGCAGGGCAAGTTTTATCTGTGGCCTGAAAGTCCCCAGCAGACAAGCTCTCCCATTCCCTTCCCTACCTGAGCGCTTCTTCCTCCTCATAACAGCTGCAGCCACTGCAGATCCAGTGAGCACAGCTCCAAGGACCAGGCCAGCAATGATGCCCATGGTGGGAATGGAGGACTGAAGAGGGGGCACTGGAAGGGAAGGGGAGACCCTGAGCCCCAGGCCTCAATCTGAAGCTCTGAAAGTCTCCAGAAGGGGTCCTGATGCCTCTGAGTAGAGCCTCTGTGCTCACAAACCCCCTCCTTACCCCATCTCACGACTTGGGGCTTTAGTAGCCCCTCATGCTGCACACGGCATGTGTATCTCTGCTCCTCTCCAGAAGGCACCTCCACAGCTGCCCACTTCTGGAAGGTTCCATACCCCCCAGGCCTGGTCTCCACCAGCTCCATCTCCTGGGTCAAGTCTTCCCCATCTCGTTGCCAGGTCAGGGTGATGTCCGCAGGGTAGAACCCCTGGACCCAGCACCTCAGGGTGACCTCATGGTCAGAGGTGGGGTGGTGGGTCACGTGGGTCTTTGGGGCCTCTGAGGAGAAGGGTAGGCACGTTCACACTCTGGGTTTTTCCCTCATGGATCCTGAAAAAGCCTCCTGTGACCATCCTCAGAATGGACAGGGCAGTGGGTTTAGAAGAGAAAGCACAAAATCTAGAAACCTGCCTGGTCTGGGATAATCTCTTATGTCTTAGAAAGATCTAGAATTAGGGCCTCCCTGGTGGCTCAGGCGGTTGAGCACTGCACTGTGAGGCCTTCTGCAGCCTCTGCAGTGCGGGTTCCCATCCCAGCCCCACATGGCGCGGCAAACCTCTCCTGTCTCACCCGCTGCTCCCTCAGCAGTGCATTTCGTCAGTCTGCCTGTTCTGTTCCCCGCCCTGTCTCTGGTGAATCCTCTCACCGTCCAGCGCACATGGCCTGTACCCGGTTCTTGTATAAAAAAAATAAAAGAAAGAAAGCTCTAGAATTAGGGCGACAGCTCTGGATAGGAGGATGTAGTTCTCTAAGGAGGAGAGCACGGACTTGAGGAGACAGACCTAAGCACTCAGAAAAACAGCAGTCAGATTCCCCGCTCTGTCTCTGGTCAATTCTCTTGTCCCTCGCACCTCTGGCCTGTACCCCGGTTCTTGTATGCATAAATAAATAAATCTTAAAAAAGAAAAATTTCCTCTGACCAATAGCAAGACCCTGAGAGAAAAATTGATGGTTTCCAAAATGGCTACCCAGTCAAAAGGATCCGGTAAAGGGAGATTTCAGAGCTGGTCTCCCCTCAGGTTCCGGAGAGACCAAGGGGACTCAAGAAACCCAGAGGGGCTCCCCCTCCCCTGACCAAAGAGAGGGCGCTGCTGTGGACATGACTCCATCCTCCCCGCGGCGCCGGCCTGAGGGAGGTTGGGAGACCTCGCGGGCCCTCTCACCAGAGCGGGGCAGGGTCTCCTTCCGGTTCTCCAGGTGCCTGCGCAGCCCCTCCGCGCACCTGCTCTCCAGGTAGTTCCTCCACTGCTCCGCCACTCCGGCCGCCTCCCACTTGCGCCGGGTGATCTGAGCGGCCGTGTCCGCCGCGGTCCAGGAGCGCAGGTCCCCGTTCAGGGCCAGGTAATCGGCGCCGTCGTAGGCGAACTGATAGTACCCGCGGAGGAGGCGCCCGTCGGGCCCCACGTCGCATCCGTGCATCCTCTGGAGGGTGTGAGAGCCTGTCCCCGCCCTGTCACCCCGCGTCACCCCGCGGTCACCCGCCCGCCCCCGCCGGGAATAAACCGAAACCGACGCGGGAACTCGCGGGGAACGTCCCGGGGCGCGTCCCGGGTCGAGGGTCCGGCGGGTCCCCCTGCCTCGGGGGACGCTCGGGCCGGGTCTGGGTCCCCGCCCGCCCGCGGGGGTGGGGTCGTGAGCGCCCCGGGCCCGCCCGCTCACCCGACTCGCTCTGGTTGTAGTAGCCGCGCAGGGTGCGCAGGTTCTCGCCGTACACCGGTATGGAGCCCCTGAGGGCCAGCGTCTGCTCCTCCCAGTACTGAGGCTCCACCTGCTCCATCCAGGGCGCCCGCGGCTCTGCCCTCCGACCCGGGGAGTCGCTGTCGAACCGCATGAACTGCGTGTCGTCCACGTACCCCACGGCGATGAAGCGGGGCTCCCCGAGGCCGGGCCGGGACATCGCGGTGTCGAAATACCTCAGGGAGTGGGAGCCTGGGGGCGGGAGGGGTGACCCGGGCTGACCCTTCTCTCCCAGAGAGTTCCCGGGGAGATGGGGCGGGAGGGGAGGGGGGCGAGGGGCTCCTGAGATTGATAAGGGCTGTGGACGTGAAGGATGAGACTCAGGGACCAAGAGGAGGAGGGGCTGGGAGGGACAGAAAGGCACCAGGATAGGGTGGGGTCATGGGGGACAACAGGCCAGGTGGTGGGGACTGGCCTTTCCAGGGGTCCTGCGCTCCCCACCCCCCAACCCCGGGGTTCCACAAGTTCCTCCCTCCTTTGAGGCCTTTTCCTTCCTGAGCCCGCACTTACCAGCCCAGGTCTCCGTCAGGGCCAGGGCCCCTGAGAGCAGCAGCAGGAGGGTTGGGGACCTCATGACCTGAGCTCATGGGTCTGGGGAGATTCTGAGTCCTGGGGTGTGGGTGGAGACTTTGTACCTGGAGCCGCAGAGATGCTGATTGGCTGCTCTGGAGACCTCCAGGCAATGGGGAGTGAGAACTGGGGTGAGTTACCAATCCAGGAAGGCAGGGCCCAACACAGGTTATGAGAAAAAGTGAAAGTGGGGAGAGGGGAACTCTCCAACAGTAACCTTCCAGCCCCAATCGCAGCCCTGGGTGCGGAGACCCTGAGACCCGCACCCAACACCTGGGACTTAGCCCACCTTCTCTCCTGCTCCAAGGCCTTTGTCACATCCTGTCCCTGAGGCCAGGCCAGGGACTGGGTCAGTGGTTTTCATTTCAGGATCTCGGCACAGTTTTACAAATTAGCAAGGACCCCGGTATAATTTTAGAAGGTCTTAGCTCTCAATATTAACTACATGAGGAATAAAACCAATTTAAAGATGTTTTTATTTAATTTAAAGTAATATTCATACACATTGCATGTTCACAAAGTGTCTTAAAGAAATATAGATATTTATGAAAATAATCATAGCAATGAGTGGATCTTTTACAGCTTGTGTTTTTGTGATTGTTTTTCTACTCTGTCTCATTAGAAGAATGTTGGATTGTCATATTTTCTCCTGCATTTATTCTGTTTTTGTTGTTGTTGTTGTTGTTGTTGTTGGTCAGTAAAAAACTACAGCCTCACTGAAATATGTGACAATAGCATTTGAATTACCTTTCAGATAATTGTGGCTATTCAACTTTGTTATACGTGCACAATAAATTGAAACTGTATAGTTGAAAGGTTGGGCGCTGTAAAGAAAAGGAGAGCCAGGCTAAATTTCTCAAAGGAAGGGAAAATTTATTGCGCCCCAGGTGGACCTCGGACCCAAGGTGGGGGTCCATAAAGCCGCGCCCGTTGTGGGGGGAGATGTCTCTTTTATAGGGTGAGGAGAGGTCAGGCAGGAAAACTGGGTTGGCAGGGGGGGAAACAGATTTAGGCGGAACAAAGTTGTTTTGGGTGGAGATGAGTTGTCTTCTGTTTATGGCTTCAGTTTCGGTTTGATGGAATCAGGGGTACTGGTGTCAGGGTCATCTTGTCTTTTTCTATGTGGGCTTCATCAGTGCTGGCCCCTGCCACAACCTTTCATTCCAGCCTTTTGTTGATAGGAAAAAGGGCAAAATTTCTTTCTTTGCTACTTCCTGCTGGAAGGGGGCAAAGACCAGGATGGGGGCTCAAGCCTGGTTATGAGGGTCTTCTGCAGGGACGCAAGAATATGGGTGGAGAAGGAGTTTGTTAAAAGTGGTATGAGACATTTCCCGAATGCAAGCCTGTGTGAACTTTAGGAGGCAAGGAGCGAAAAAAAGAAAAAAAATAAGGTTATCATTAATATTGGCCCTAAGAGTGGGAGGAGCCATGACACTATAGGATTTTGAAACCATGTCAGTGGAGACTTGGAGCCCCCGCTTTCCCTTTCCATGTCTTTGCATAGTTTCATTTAAGGCTTCCGCATTTTGTTCTATAATCCCTGACTCATTGATATAATAACATTCTTCCCTAAGGAACAAGTAGGTACCCCCTTATCAGCCGTTAACAAGTCCAGAGCCCGCCGGTTTTGGAACGTGGCTGTGCCAGGGAGGTGAGCTGTCTTTGTAATAATGTTAAAGACACAGAGGTTTTTCTAAGGAGGTATCTATTGGAGTTCCATAGAGGGCACTGAGAGTTGGGAAGTCTGGTGTGGGGCAAAAAGAAAAAATAAGGAGATTAGGATCAAAGGCCCTGTGAGTGGTAATACCTTGCCCGAGGCTGCTCTGATCTGGAATTGCCAGACATAGACAGAAGAACGGGAAGTGGCTTTAAGAGATAGGATTAGAAACGGAGGAAGGAGAGTCAGAGGTCCTCTACTCTGCAGGCTGAGTGGAACCTGGACCAGGGGCGCAGTGATGCATACCCGAGTTGGGCCAAGCGCTCGCATACACACTGCTTGTCCACAGGGACCCTGTTGCTCATCTGTCAATAACAGGAATGGCTTTTCCGGGTCTGGGAGAGCTAAGGCTCGTCTCAGAGATTTTTGCCTGGATAAAGTGGAGAAAAGAGGGTGTAGAAACAAAGAAAAACATGATCATGATCACCGGGCCTACTAGGGACAGGATCCATGTAAGTAAGGGAGAGCTGGTCCAAGTCTGGTAATCTTGGCCCCAGCTTCGGCTGAGGAAGAGTCGGTCAGAGGGGGTTTTGCTGGTCAGATGAGCAAGTCCATGAATGTGTTATAGGAGGTGGAGACATCTGAGTACATGATTTCTCACCAAAATCTCTCTCAGACCTTCAGCACTTTCTTTTGCTTTCTTCCTTTTTAATACCATTTACCCATCCTGCTTTATATTATCTTAAGGACCTTCAGAATATCCATCTTTAATACATTTCTTTTTTCAAACACACATACCTCACCTCACTTTCATTTACCAGACTTAGCAAAACATTTAGTTTTATAAGGGAATTTAACACCATCTAAACAATGATGAAAAAATACACATTTAAGGTAGATAGCCCCTGTAGCTTTTTGTTCCTGTCCCCAGTGATTTAATTGGCAGAGAATGGTGTTCAAAGCCTGCATCTGTTGGGCAATATTAATGTTTCCAATTGGGCTAAGGTCACCCTGTAGGGTTTGAATCGGGGGAGAAGAAGGGGTGAGTGGCCATCTGGAGAGGATTTTTAAAAGGGGAAATTCCAGCTGGGCTGACAATGTGTAAGAATCCCAAGCTGCAAAACTCTCCAGGTGACACTGGACACCTAGGCATGCTCGCTGCGGGACTGAGATTGATCATAGCCTAGGGCTGCCTGGAGTGGGAAGATGTGTGGATTTTCCAGCTGAGCAGGTCCGTCGTGGAGTAGGGCTAATCTGTGAATAACCTTTGTCCACCTCGGAGAGTCCAGTTTGGATACTAATATACTAGTCCCCGAGTCTTTCTTAAGGGGAGCTAGAGAGCCTCTCTATTTGTTCCTTGCAACCTACACGTTTTACCACCTGAGGTGGAAGAACCAATGACTCTGGAGAGTCAGGACTAGCAGGAGACAGCTGAGACTCAGTTCCAGATGGAGTAAGTAGATGGGGCTCACTCAAGTGGGATTCCTGGGAGGCCGGTAGAGGAGGATACAAGGGGGGCCTCCAGGGTGCCCAGGCATATGGTTGTGGTTGCTTTTTTTCTATCGTTAGTGGATGAAAAGTCTCATTTTGATTTAAGAGGTTGCAGCTGAGGTGGTAAAACAGAAGGAGGTTGTACTGCAACTTTTAACCAAGGTGGCTGGGAAAGGACTATAGTAAGCCAGGAGGCGCTATATAGAAACTGGTCTGGGTGACTTGGGTTGCCCATGACCACTCTGTAGGGAGTGGTGAGTGGCCACAACTGGGGTAGAGGTATGCCAGACCACGGGGTTGACAGTGGAAGGAGACAGCGGGTAGTCCTGAGAAGGGTTAGGAGATGTTTGGAGCAGTGGGATGGTGAGAGCAACACTGGGTCTTGGAACCATGAGAGAATAGCCCTGAATTTGGTTAGGAGATCATGTACCAGGAGTGGTGTGGGGCAAGAAGGCACGACTAGGAAAGAGTGGACCAGTGGTCCTGGGCTGAGAAGGAAGGCCGCCAACACCCGTAACCGAGGCCTGAGAAGGATAAACTTGACCAGAATAGGAGGGGAGGACAGAGAAGGTAGCCCCTGGGTCAACCAGAAAGAAGATGGACTTACCTGTACCTTGACCGTTACCCTGGGCTCCTCGAAGTTTATCAGAGTCAATGAGTCTGGGCCTCTTCAGTCCTCAGCCGCCAAACCCAAGACCGCCAGTGGAAGTGTAGCAGGGGATGGAAGGACTGGCCCACCAAGGCCAGGCATCGAGGGACAGTTACTTTTCCAGTGACCCCAGACAGTCCTGGTGGAGGGTGGGGGTTGGGGCATTGTCTGGACCAGTGACCTTCCAGGCCACACTTGAAGCAGGCTCCGGGCGGTGGTCGGTTGGTTGGTCGGGGCCCATATGGCCCATCGGGCGGCAGGCACTGCAGTCATTGGAGGAGCAGGGTCTGGCGGTCTCAAGGCAGCTACTAGGGCCTGAGTTTGAAGCTCAGCCTTCTGACGACTACAGAGTTCCCTCTCTGCCCTGTCCTGTTCTTCCCAGGTGTTAAATACTGTAAAGGCCATATTCAGCAGATCCCACATAGGGTTTGAGGAATGTCCTCAGCCTTCTTAAGCTGTTTTTTAATGTCTGGGGCTGACTGAGATATAAAATGGGTAGCCAGAACTGTGGTGCCTCCAGGCAAGTCAGGGTCAAGCCTGGAGCGCCTCCGGCAGGCAGCGACTAATAAACGTAGCAGGGTTTTTTGAGGCAGACTGGGTAATTTTTCTAAGCTTAGCAAAACTTATAGGTTTAGGCGCTGCTGGTTGGAGACCAGCTAGGAGACAGGTAATAAAACAGTCTAGGTGAGCCTGCCCTGGGGGCCCGTGCCTGGTCAGTCTGGTAGTCCCACATCGGCTCTGGGTGGGGAACTGTTGCAGAGCTTGGGGGCATGATTGTGTCAGTCAAATGGACCTGATCTGCATGGTCCTGGGCAGGCCCAAAAACACATTCCCTTTTATTAGAGGTCAGGGTGGAAGAGAGGACAGTATGTTAATCATGACACACAAGGTCATAGGCTTGGGCAAGATAACGAAATTCTTTGGTGTAGGTAGTGGGATAGTTAGTGAAAGAGCCCAGACGCTTTTCAATCTGGGAGAGATCAGACAGAAAGAAAGGAACATGGACTCTACCTACTCCTTCAGTCCCACCCACTCCCCTGAGGGGACGGGGAAGAGGAGAGTGGGTGTGGTGGCTAGGAGGTAAAAAAGGGGGGGGGGGCACTGGATTGGGGAGCTGGAGAAGATAATTTAGAGGATCAGAGAATGCAGAAGAGGGGTTTGGAAAGGGTGAAGAGTAAGAGGAGTCTCGAGACTTTGAAAGTATGGCAGGTTTTC